ATAGATTTCATAAAGATAGTATCAAGCGTATTTTACAATATGCGACAAAGTTAGTATATATATATCAGTCAGTACAAAAGAAGATATGGTGCATATCTGATATTACACAACGACATAAGCACAGTACCGGAAACAGTTAAAAACGATCACTTAACGATAGAACGGTAACCTCAATCTGAAAAACGTTTTCACGCGTCTATTTTATAAACGTCTCCAGAAGAATATTCTGATTGCAAATTCGTAAGAATCTAAGAGATTGTGTCCGTGTAGACAGAAGAAGAAGAACTAAGCCTTCTAATATTGCCAAACAGGACGTCAACTGCTTCAGAATTATGACATATTTTCTACACAATATTATATAATACTATGTATCTGTGTCATGTTTCTATTAATAAATATATTTTCCAGAATGTGCTGCGTATATAGTACCAACTGTACATAAGTAATCGGCAAACCCCATATACTGGCATTCTTTAGCAGCCTAAGCCTGAACGTATTCCACGACAGGCAGAAAAAATGCATAAGGTAACATTCAGGGGTAGGCTTAGCCGTAATGCGCTATATCCTTTTGTATACGTGACGTTCATTGTGGTGTAAGTTTTATCCGCCATGCGATGAATACGAGTTTTCATGTGAGGTAAGCAGATGCTCATTCACCTCATGCCGCGGCGGACGAGATACGTATATCAGATGATGAACAACTACTTTCTGGAACCTTCCTGAATGGAGTCCAGCGTTAATTCTGAGCAGAACAAAACTTATGACCAGCCTGTATCGAATACGCATTTTAAATTATGTGGATGATAATATCCTTAAACCATCCAAGAGACAGATCATCTGGCTTGAAACCGTTTCAGACCGACATCTAGAAAGGAAATGTGTGCAACAGTGGACTTATCTGATAAAGTTTTTTTTAAAGTACCGGTAATACGCTTAAAGTTAACCAGTATTCTTCACAAGAAGTTTTTATGAAGATGTAGGCACTGTTTTCAGTTTAAGGTTTACAAATAAGAAGTGCGCAAGCCTGTTAAATCCGGACCAAGAGCCAAAAGGATCTTGCATGTTACTCTGGCAAGCCACCGGTGATTAGGGTCAAATATGATATAGCTGCCCTCTCCCTTTTATTTGAACGACGAGCTGTTTTGCTTTCGGTATCAATGCAAGACTGCCAAATTTTGTGATGAGTTTGCAATGAATAACGCGAGTTTTGTACTGTGCATTCCCTGAATCTGAAGTAAACTGTTAAAATAATTATATGAAAACGAGTCCCTAGATCTTTTCCAAAACGTGTTTTGAAGAACACCGACTGATGTGAATGGACCTTGCCTGTATGTGTCAATCGACAGGAGGTACAATGAGGTAAAGTTAATTGGAAACTACTATGCTATGGGATTCGACGAAGGGTATTGGTTTAGTTTTCAGCATTTAAATATCATGATTTTTACTGCCATGCTGTTGTTTTCTACGGGTGCATTACCAATCAGGTGAGGTCAGTAATCAACCTACAGAAACTAACCCAACAAACCAAATCGATCAGAAAAACAGGGTGCATATACCTGAACTGCTAATTTCGCCGGAACTGGAGTCAGACAAAGGACCGACCTGAAAAGTGACGGCGCCGGTTCTACTAGCTGCAGTGGCGGTGGCAGCCGCGTAGCCGCCACCGGCAGACGACGGCGAGACAGAGAACGTGCTGAAACAGGGAGACATGTCTTGTAGCATACCGATGGCTTTCGGTGACGGCGAGGGGTGAGGTAACGGGTGCCACAGGGCACCGGCGGACGTCGATGGACGGACGTGGTCTTGGGTCAAAGAACCGCGGCGGGTGGTGTCCTGCGGGAAAGCCAGGTGCTGGTTAGCGTGGATGCTGCTTTCGTCGCAGGTCATCGTCTGGGTACACACCTGAAACAAGAGGCCTTCGAAGGAACGCAAAACGTTTTGAAAAGAAACAGATCGAGGGAAATTTATGCCCTCGGCACATACCTCACTGAGAGTTGCAGACGTGGCGACAGTTGCAGCTGCCGTTGAGT